GGGCTTTGGCTTCATTTTAAACACCCTTCCCTCATTCCCTTCCTGTCTTTCAAAGCAACCTCATTTCTAAGCTTTCTGGTCTTTCTTCCCTGAAACCTTATTATTTATTTTTTTTTTAAGTTTATTAGTACATGGGTGTAGCACATATTTACGTTCCTCATGGGAAGGGGTACATGCACACAGCATGTGTGAGTTCTCCTTTTATTCCCTTGCCCCTCTAGCCTGACGCTTTGGGATAGCATCTTGGGCCTCTACTGTGCTCTAGTGTGCATTTTCCTCAGGAAACATAAGACCAGGGGATTGCCTTTGTGTCTATTATAGCGCCTTGAACAGTGTCTGAAACATAGTAGCTTGCCTAAGTAATACTCCAAATTTACATAGATACTGCTAACTGTTCCCCAGTATCCAGTCTTCTCTTCCTCTTGAATAATTCAGCCACCCACAGACTTAGAAAGTGCGTGGCCTCCCCGCTACAGTCTCATTTTCTAATCACCTTTGCATTTCAACACGGTTATACGCCCAAGTTTGACTTTGATCAAAAGTGCCATGCGGTGCTTTGGTGCTAGCTCCTTAACAGGAAAATTGTCCCAGTTTCCTTTTATTTCCCCTTCCCTATAGCAGTGATACTGGTGAGGAGAACATTTCATGGAAGGAAAAACGGGAATAGCAGAAAGGACAGAAGTCATCAGAGCTCCGGGTGGCTTTGAGAGCTGAGCTGCCCCCTGCCCTGCAGTCTGTTTTGGATGAATAACCGAATCTGTACGGGTTCCCGCGTTCTCTTCGGCAAGCAAGTCTGCGACTGAAGGGTCACTTAGCTGGCAAGGCTGTCTCACACCTGCCCAGATGCGGGCCTCAGGGAATCATGTTTGCAAAGCTGTTCCAATCTCAGCATTTCGTTGTCTTAGCTTTCTTTCCCTTTCATCTCTGTGCTGTTAGCTTGCAATTGGCACACCTGAGCTATCACAGCCGCTGCACGCTGCTGTTCCCTAACAGTCACTCTAATTAGGGAAAGAAGGTCCTTTGTCATTCCTTC